ATCCACATCGTTTCAAAATCCATTCTTCTTCCTCTTGTGTTATTTCCAGCTTCCAAGTTGCTGAAAAAAAAAAGCCTTCTTTCTTCCCAGGCAGACTCGGTAAAATGATTCACATCAAGAGGCACCTGCCTTGCTTTTCTCCAGTGCAAAGCCCCAGACTGTAGTGCTGCATGGGAGCAGCAAAGCCGGGCCGAGGAAAGCCGAGTCCGCGGTCTTAAACTCCAAACTGAACACGATTCTATTCTGATGCATGTGGGGTCACCATGAGTTGGAACTGACTCCATGGCAACTGGTCTGGTTTGGTTTCAAACATTTATTTAAGCTGGAAGTTATACTGGCAGAGTTTCCTATCACACTTTGCCTTTAATACTCACTTTATCCCTGGACTAAGACTCCCTCTTGTGGTGGAAGAATATCCCCTCAGAGCACAGACTGAGGGAACTGTTTTCTCAGTTATGTCCCGTTAGTATGGATTACACGCCAGTGTAAAATCCGCTGCCATCAAGTCAGTTCCCACTCATAGCGACCTGTAGACAGAGTGGAACTGCCTCATAGAGTTTCCAATACTATAAATTGCCACAGAAGCAGACTGCCTCATCTTTCTCCCATGGAGTGGCTCGTGGGTTCAAACCACAGACCCTTTCCTTGATTGGCAGCCGAATGCCTTAACCACCGCACCACCCGAGCTCCTTCAACTTAAAAAAAAACAGAAATCCTCACAACTGGATTAATAAGGAACATCATGATAAATGAAGAAAAGATTGACATTGTCAAGGATTTCATTTTACTTGGATCCACAATCAATGCTCACAATCAGTGCTCAGCAGCCAAGAAATCAAACAACATACTGCATTTGGCAAATCTGCTGCAAAAAGCCTCTTTCAAATGTTGAAGGGCAGAGATTCACTTTGAGGACTAAGGTGTGCCTGACCCAAGCCAGGGTATTTTCAGTCTCCTCATATACATGTGAGAGCTGGAGTGAACAAAGAAGACCAAAGAGAGTTGATGCCTTTGAGTTGTGGCATTGGCAAAGAATATTCTCTTTACCCTTACCTCATGGATTGCCGGAAGTACAGCCAGAATGCTCTTTGGAAGCGAGCATGGCAAGATGTCATCTCACGTATTTTGGTCATGTTATCAGGAGGGACCAATCCCTGGAGAAGGACATCATCTTGGTAAAGTAAAGGATCAGCGAAAAAGGGAAGATCCTCAGCGAGGTGAAGTGACGGAGAGGCTGCCACAGTGGGTCAGACATAGCAGCAGTTTCGTGGATGGCCCCGGGCCAGGCAGTGTTTTGTTCTGTTGTGCTTAAGATCGCCGTGAGTTGTAACTGAACAGACAGCACCAAACAGCATCTAGACTCCCTCTTCTAGTAGAAGAATGTCTCCTCTGGGCACAGACTGAAGGAACTTTTCCTTTCTCAGGAGGGGAGGATCGTCTATGTTGGTGAGATGTGATGCACCCTCAACGTTAGCTCCCTGCATGAATTATTATCTCAGGATTTTATTGTGTGGATGTGGATTGAAGCTCACTAGGTTTAGAACGAAGGAAAAAAATCTATCTTGAAAAACAAAATGAATCTATTTTTGTCATAGAAAAATCTAAGAAAGGAGAAAGGACTGTTAGTCTGCTGATCTCTAGTCAATTGCAAATCACACAGCTCTTTGATTCCAGTATTATCCTCAGTATAATACAACTTCTCTCGTTCCACCTTTCAACTTGAAATGAATGGTGAATTTCAGAGTACTTATTTCTTATTGCTATGGCGGCGTATCAGGAGAACAGGTTATTTTTTTTTAATAATGATACTGTTTTTGCCATCTTGCCAATTTGCAGTGTTTTTAGGGACATAATCTTCACCACGGTTCTGCATGGCTGTCGTCAGTTGACAGAAGGGTAAGTGTACAACACTTACATGCAGAACAGTGATCCCCAAAGTTGTCCACATCCTTCTCACTGAAACCTGTGGATACGTAACCTTACATTGTAATGGGACTCTGCAGATGCGATTAAGTGAAGGAGATTGAGATGGAGTATCTGGGTGGGCCCGTTGTAATCACAGGGATCCTTATAAAAGGGAGTCAGAAGACTACGCATGAGAAAAGGTGATTTGATGACAGAAGCAGAAAGCAAGCGAGAGATTGTAAGATGTTTATGCTCTGGTTTTGAAGATGGAAGATGGTGGGACCACAGCCAAGAAATGGAAGGAGTCTCTAGAGAAGGCAAGAAAACAGATTCTCCCCTAGAGCGTCCATCAAGCATATGTCTTTGTTATTGTTTCACTATTACCCATGCTCCTATCATTATATGGATTATTTTTATCACCCCCGAGAGTCCCCTGTGTCCCTTCCCAGTCAGCCCTCTGCCCCAATGCAAACACTGATAATGCTTTCCATCATCATACGTTTGCCTGTTCCAGATCTTTCTAGAAATGAAATTATATAGTATTACGTATTCTTGTATTTGCCTTTTTTACTCAGTATAATGTGCTTTAAATTCATCTGTGTTGTTATATATATCAATAGTTAGTCCTTTTTATTGCTGCCTAACATTCTATGAGTCTGGGCTGACTCGACGGCAAATAACAACAACAACAACAACATTCCACTGTATGAATATATCATGGTTTGTTTATCTGTTTTCCTGTTAATGGACAGCTGTGCTGTGTCCAGTTTTGGCTAACATAAATAAAGCTGCTATGAGCATTTTTTGGAAAAAAAAAAACAATTGGTGTTCCCTAGAAGGATGGTAAATGGGCAAGGGTAGCTGGGAGGTATTTAAGTATTAACAAATCCCTCCAACACTGGGGAGATTATATAATTGTATTGACTTATTTTTTTTTCCCCAGTTGTGATCTGCGTGAAAGTTACAGAACATACTGGTTTTCCATTCAACAATCCACACACATTTTGTTTTGTGACACACAACATTTGTTTTGATTTACGTCAAGTAGACACACGCCCTGGAGAGAACAATCATGGGAGAAGGAAGGGCTGCTTATGCACAGGGAGACAGCTCAGGGCGCAGAGGAGTATGGAGGGATGGACACTGGGAAGAGGTAACTATGGAGAGGAAGTGGGAGGGGAGCTGTTGCATTGTAAATTTTGGTCAATGACATGAGACAAAGTATATGTGAACTGCTGTATGAAAAGTGAATTTACTCTGTAAATCTTCACCCAAATCAAAATAAAATTAAAAAAAAAAAAAAAGAACCCAACTACAACAAGGAAGTCGCAGGGGGCCAAGGTTCAGAAAAGAAAACCTAAATAAATTGTTTTCAGTTTGAATTAAAAAAAAAATTTGTTTTGTTTTGCGATCCCCACAACATCACAACCCTTTTCCCACTTCCTCCCTGTATTTGCCATTTCCCTTGTCCTTCTTCCTGTCCCTTCCTGCCTTCTGAGCTTGGTCCCTGGGCAAATGCTGCCCTTTTGAGCTTGTGTGGTTGATTGTTGTAATAAGTGCATACCTTCCTAGTATTATACACTTTATAGGCCCTTCATTTCACTGAAAGTTGAACCACGGGCTTGAGTTTAGTTCCTGGCTTGAAGGGTATCAAAGGGCCATAGTTTTGGGGGTTCCACCAGTCTTTATCAGACCAGTAAGCCTGGTCTTTCTTATGATTTTGAGTTTTGTTCCCCATTTTTCTTCCACTCTTTCTGGGACCTGTATAAGACTTTTTGTGCACATATGTTTCCATTTCTGTTACGTAAGATGTAAGAGTAGACTTGCAGACTCATAGAGTAGATGTGTGTTTAACTTTAAAACAACTGGACTTTCTGACGTTGGTACCTGCCTTTTTAACCACTGTGCTATACTGTCCATATTTCATCGGTTTATTGTAAGGAATGAATTAGTTACTGCATGAAAAATACTTAGCATAGTGCTTAGCACAAGTTAGTGCTTGACTTACTAGTTCTTATTGTTTACTATCTGTCTGATGACTTCCAGATCTCTGAATCTTAAGCACTGGGCCTATGTATCCAACTGGCCCCTTACGTAACAACTGAGCTTAGCTGTCCCAGTTGTCCCAAAATGAACTCATCTCCTCAAGCTCACTCCATTCCCAAACCCAGTCCTCCTCTCCTGTACCACTTTATGGTGAGTCTTCTCAGTTGCCCAAGCCTCTCCCTTCCTCGCACTCAAGCAGGTCATCCAGCTCTTTGATGCTGCTGCCTTTGTCTTTCTTGCATGTGTTCATTTCTCTCCATTCCCTGCTGTTGCTGCCTTAGTTCTGACCCTCAGTATCTCTCTCCTGGGTCTGTGCAACAGTCTTCTAACAAGGCCCATGCCATGAGGATTGCCAGCCCCAGTTCGTTGCCTCCACTGCAACCAGAGGGATCTGTCGCTGATACAAACCAGATCCTGCCATACTCCTGTTAGAAGCCTTCATGGCTTCTGGGATAAAGTCTCAACCCCTTCTGTTCCTTTCAGAGTCTTCTGCGCTGCAGCCTCATCCTTCACCTCCTGTCTCGTAGCTGGGCTCTCACCCTCTAGACGCCTTCCCACTTCTGGTCTCCTGCCTAAAAGTCTTTGTACTGCTTGTTCTCCACAGAATATTATTTCTTCCCCATTTCATCCTACTCTATCCCTTTACCTGACTTATTCACATCAGAATTTCACCAAGAGGTTCTTAAATTCCAAGAAGTATTCTCTAACTTTAGGCTTCTTGCCCCTTAGTTGGGGTAAGTGCCCCTTCCAGGTGCTCTGGCACTTTGTACTGCCTCCTAGTTTGGCTCTCGTGACCCTGCGTTGCCCGATACCCCTGCAACTCCTACACTAGACTCTGAGTTCTCAGAAAACGGGGACTGTTTCTTGCTCAAGCCTACATCCCTAGCACTTAGAGCATTAATGCTTCAGAAGCTGAATGACTGTATTGGCAGCACAAGAGAATGTACTTAATTTGCTGCTGGATCCACTGGGGATGAGTGACTAGGGAGTGGAGCAAATAGCATGTGGAATTGCTGGGTTCTCACCCACTTGTCTTGTCATCCTCACAGCCAGATGAGAATTCGCTGGATTTTTCCTCCTGTATGCTGCGCCCTGGGATTAAAAACGCTCAGGAGCTTGCTTGTGGAGTGTGCCTCTTAAACGTGGACTCCAGGAGCCGGGTAAGTCACTTGCCTGCACCCTGCAGGTGGCAGAGTGCTTCTCTGACATGACCTAGGTGGCTGCCTCAGCTCGCCCACTTCACTGCAAGGTCTGTGACCAGAGGTGGGATTTTATAAAGCCCAGAGAGCTGACCGTAGAAGCTGGTAGTTCTTCCAGAAGGGCAGTGGGGACGCTGTTGAGGGACCCTGTGCTCTTCTCCCATTTCCAATGAGCATGCCTTGTGCCTGCCACAAGCTGTGTCCTGGGGTGGGGGGTGGAGGGCCCAGAGAAAGGGAGCAACTTGTTAGGATTTGTTTGGAGGCAAGAAGCCAGGTGCTAGGAATTTTGTTCATCTTATGGTTTCAACGTTATTTCAGAAAGAAGAGAAGCCTGCAGAAGAACATCCTAAAAAAGTATGAACCAGTTACACATTGTCTTAGCGTATCCATCTTAATTTTGAGTGTGGAAGGCAAGTCGGATGATTCCACTGCCGTCCTGAACTGTTCCAATCATGAATCCTTTGCCAAGTCATTTTTCTTCCCATGTTTGATTTAATCCACTGATGTGTCTGTGCGGAGCCACCTCTGTCTTGTTTGCATGCTTGTGTCCCATAATTGGCTTCTGGTGTTGGCGGTGATTTCTCTGTACAAGGAACAGGTCACACAATGAGCACCTTCTGGTCCCTGGAAGGCTGCAGGTTGTTTAGTGACACACAGAATGAGAGCAAAGAGCTGGGCTGCTTCAGGATTTGGCCGTTAGCAGACAAAAAACACATTTCAATTTCAGAGTTTTGTTTTATTTGTAGTGCTTTAGGGAACTAACCCCTGGAAGTGACTGAGGTCTGGACCACTCTTCCCTGGCTCCCTGTAACTTACCTATAAGGATTACTCGTCTGGAGCCAATTCTTACGGGTTTAATGTTCTTTTCTTTTTTTTACAAACCCTATACCCGTTTGAGCTTTTTAAATTGTGTCAAGTTAGTTATCAGCTTCCACTGGCATTAGTCCTTCAGGGTTTTTATCTGTTTCTTTCTAATGTTTTTCTTTAATGATGTGACTGTAATTGGCCACAGAAATTTTCATGAATAAAAGCCATTTAAGAGATTACATGTTATACTCTCTTGGGGGAGGGCTTCCTTCAGTATAATGAAAACAACCCCACCCCCATTAGCCTCTATCTTTTCAATAAAGGATTTGATCTTCTCTTGCTGAATTAAACTGGGTTTAATGGTAAAGATTTTATACCTCTAATTAGCAGCAAGAAACTTTCTCACTTGAATTCCTTTAGCCACCTGCTCCGCTTCTGTGTGTGTGCCATTTTGGCCTCAGACTCTGGAGGGGGGACGTGTTGGTTCCTGATGAGCACTTCTGTGCAGAAGGCTGACTTGCCCCACACTTCTGTTTGTCCATGGCAGGCATTCAACTCAGAAACAGACAATTTCAAGCTGGCATATGGAGGGCACCAGTATCACGCCAGCTGTGCCAACTTCTGGATCAACTGTGTTGAACCAAAACCTCCTGGTCTTATCCTGCCTGATTTGCTCTGAAAAGCTCCTCTATGAAGCACCAGCCAGTTGTTTTGTGTTTCCATCACACCCCAGGGGGTGACAGGGACCAGCTGACAGAATGCAAGTATTGCAAAATTCATCTCTGTGAATCTATATGAAGAATTCCCCAAAGAGTAGGGGGAAAAAATATATCAGTGGCAGTTCCAGTCATTCCTATCGGCAAACTTTGTCCCCTAGTTTCCAGTGCCAGTCTTTGGGACTTGAGATAAAGTTGCCCTACCCAAAATGCATGTGGCACCAAAAGTTTGCTGACTTACCTCTCGTTCTTACAAGCTGGTTTAAAGTATGGACCACAATATTCTTTACATCAGGAACAATTGATCCTGCAACGCTCAAACTGTGAAGACTTGACATTTGAAGAAAATAAGTTATTGTAGGACTGGAATTAGCAAAACTGCTTCAAGCCAGTGCTTATTTCTATGTAGAACCCTTACTGTCCTGTGAAGTAGAATGTGTTTATCTGCACTTAGTTTGTTAATATCGGAAATGAATAAAAAGGGGAAAACGTGATTAAACTGATGTGCTTATCTTTCTGTAGAAAAATTTGTCTCCTCTCCCAATGGCAGGTGGGTGTAGGCTGATTTCTCAACTTTACCATCGCAACCGAACTGATTATCAACTCTCCTTCATTTCTAAAACTGTCAACTCTCAAGAAAAGTTTTTCCCGAAACATCCATGGGGGCTTTGCAGTAGAGAAGAAAGTTCATTTTAGAGGCCAAAGCCCTTGCGTATCGGGATGTGTTATCTGTCCCTTTAGGAGCCCACACTGAAAACCTTCTGTTACACTTCAACAAAGACTGTGAACGTGGTGATTGTTTTTCAGACAAGATTTGGAACGGCAAGTGAATGAACTCATCTTTGCCATGGTTTTTCTCCAGATCTCCAAAGATGACTGTATAGGGACCAACACGGCCTATCTTTGTAGTATCTGTGAGAGAGACCTGAAAATTAATTCAGAGTTAGAAGATGGATTTCCTGGCTTAGTGAGGAGAAGGGTAAGATATATATTTATGGTGGAGATACCTGACTTAGAAGCAGTGGGAGAAATTCTTCAGAAACAGCACAGAATTTTAGAAAGAAAAGGCTCATGCTCTCTGGTTTAGGGGTTTCTTTATGCATTAAAACTGAATGCCTAAAATCATGGGGGAAATCTTAAAAAAAAAAAAAAAAAAGCCAACAGGTTAAGGACTGTGTTGGAAGAACATACCGATGTTAGAAAAACATTTCTCTGAATTGTCAGTTATGTAATTTATGAGGAGATGTTGAATCTTGTATGCTTCACTTTGTGTGTCTTTGGCTCCCTGCCCTAGACTTAGTTCTTATTTTTAAGATGAAAAAGGTGGTTCTGTCCACATAATTGCTGCTTTTACATAACTGATTAGTATTCCCTTCTCTTAGGACAAAACTTTGAGGGAATGCTACTTTGTTCCCTCTTATACTTTTTACACCATCTTCTCCAAGAAAGGCACAGAGCACTTTCATTGAACAGTTCTGGATGAGGCTTCTGCTCTACCTTGGGATGCGCCAGAACGCAGAGAGAGGTGCTGATGACATCAATTCTGTTTCTTTCTTATTTGCTGCAGATGACACCATTGCCAGCTGTTAATGACTGAGACAGCTGTCTCTGAATTGTCCCTTTGAGTCTTTGCCCTCCTCCAGGCTAGTGGGTGTTGGTGACACCACCACAGGTGGGCAGGTCTCCAGCGGGCGTTCCCTGGGGCCCCTGTGCTCCATTCCTCCCTGCGCAGCACCAGGGTTTCACACGGCATCAGACTTCAAGCAGCTTTCTAATCGGTCTTGTAAATTCCATAATGGAGTCATGATAACAGAATCTGCCACTGTGATGTCTCACAGTTGGACAGAATTCACATTGCAGCAACATTTTTTTGCAAGTGCTTTTTGGAGTATTATTCTGGGACAATGGCCTATATCAATGACACTTTAAAATACATGCTCGCCCATTAACCAGGTTAGTTTCCATTCCTAGGTCTATTCCAGAATGCCTTGATAAAATTTCTAAGTATAATTTCTGCTGACCGGTATGATAGGTTTAGTAACTCCTTGGAAGGTGCAAGAGGAACATTGAGCAAACATTGACAAAAAGCCTTTGCAATGAAAAGTATTCACTGCTTTTAATATCTGTTTAATAGGGGAAATGTTTTATGAGATACCACCGATAAGGAATTGGTTGGGGAATGTGGAATACCGTTATGCTGATTTTCTTTGTACACGGTTCATTAAAATGACTCAGTGTTGCATGCGGCTTCACCTCAGCTCTTGTTAGCCAAGAGCCCAGTGTCCTTGGAAACAGTAACCAAGGTTACTTATTTCCATACGTGTATTGTGTTAGGCAGCTTCACCCAACTGCCTGAATGGCGAGTCAACTTATTTATTTTGTGTGTGTGTGTGTGTGTGTTATATTTTGCCTTTTAAAATTATATGGCTTAGTATGTAATTTAATTTCTTTTTGGACATGTTTAAGATAGAAGAGGTACAGGGAATATTAGGGTATTATCCATGCTTTGTTTTTCCTATAGCTACCAGTTAGCCTTTCGTGTAGGTTGCATCTTTTAAATGTATTTTATGTAGATGTACTTGTTTTTGTTTTCTGTTTAAAGATAATTTCTGATTTCCTTCTAATTTGAAAAGATTACAGAGCCTCTTAGTTATGGAATATTTGAGATGCTTGTTCTGCATTGGGAGCCACTACAAAAATCCCCCTTAACACCTTCTAGGTCAGATGCCTTCCTCTGGTGGTCAGCTAATAAATGCTCTGACATTTTCAAAGACATTTGCTCTTCAGAAGGATGTATTATATAACTTGTTGTCAGCCATTCCAGCAGATACTGGAATGCAGGGAGAGATGTGTTTGGCCCCCATGTTTTTTGCTCATGTTACTTAATATTTCTTTGGAAAAGTGTGCACCAAACAGAAGTATGGCAAGCCCCCTCCTTACAAGGCCAAGCTCAGAAAAGGAAGTTTAGTTAAAACAGCTCTCTGGTGAACTTTACAAATACTTTCTAACAAAACAGCATGGTAATATGTTACCTGATTCCATTATTTAAATTTTGATTTGATTATTCATATGACTTAAAAAAAAAGTATTGGTGTATAAGTGACAGCTCATTATTTTGTAGGTGTGGCTGTATTGCAACCAGCGAATGCTACAAAAGTGGGTTGCCTTTTGTGCTGTGTGGTCTGAAAGTTATTGCTGTATTTTAAAAGACAAACTAGCTGTTTTTCTTGGTTTATACTTTAATAAACAACTGCCCTAATTGACATGTCTACACATTATAAAGCTTGGCGTCTGAAACATTTTCAGTTTGTTCTGAAATAACCACTTGCTAAAGCCCACTGTCAGTGAAATACAAATGCAGAAGAATGTCCTGACTACTAGACTTTCTCAGCCTTTTCTCTGCTGGGTTATAGACACAAAGCATGAGGATAAGCAGAGGCCAAAGCATTTAGACTAGAAGGGTATGAGGCTTCCCAGGTGCTAGTATAACACTCCTAGTAACATCCCAATAGTGATGCTTACCAGGACTGCTAGGACAATTCCCTTAACTAGCAAGAACATCTGTCACTGGGTGGTTCAAACGACCAACTTTTAGGTTAGCAGCCAATCACAAACCACTTGTGGCACCCAACTTAAAACTTGCCTTCATACTAAAAGCAGCTTCCTGGGTTGGTTTTGATCATGTGCTGATGTAGCATTTTGTGGGTTCCTCTGATTTTCCATAGAAACTAGTACAACTTTAATTTTCCTTTTCAGACAGTAACTAGGCATATTTATAAAAGTGAGCAAATGGTGTAAAAGAAGAAAAGGGAGACTATAGGTGGAAAAACATTGCCACTGACCAGGTAAAACCTGGTATGTAACTTACATGCTGCTACTGGCATTCCTTCAGAAATATACAATGCTTGGTAAAGCAGAGGGTCAGTGGAAAAGGGGATACCCTCAACAAGATGGACTGACACAGTGGCTGCAGTGATGGGCTCAAGTATAGCCAGAATTGTGAGCATGGCACAGGACTGGCACTGTTTTGTTATCTCATACATAGGGTCACTAAGAGTTGGAGCTGGATTGGGAGCTCTGGTGGCATAGAGCCCAAGGCATTTGACTGTTAACCAGAAGGCTGCTGGTTCAAACCCACCAGACACTCCTCAGAAGGAAGGTTGGGCAATCTACTTCCATAGTGATACCGCCTCAGAAACCCAAGGAGGAATCGCTGAGTCAGATTCAACTTGACGGCAGTGAGTTTGGTTTTGCTTTTAACAACAACTGGTATAGTTATGGCTTCTTGCCATAAAAGACCAAAAACTAGAAAATTATTCCACAAATAAGCAAGGTACAACCTACGTGGTTGAAGTAAATGAAGCAGTGCTTTATGAGCAGATTTCCCACTGGCTCCTCTATCTCAAAGTAAAGGGTGACCTGGTAACTCCCAGTGGTCTCCCAAGAGGGGGAAATGGGACAGCGCTCCATCATCGTTGACATGATTCAGCTGAGCTATCTTCTTTAGCATTCATAATTTGTCAGAGGGCCCTATTTTACTACAATTACTGGAGAGTGTCTTTCTGCCATCATCCACACACACACACATCCTGAAATTAATTGTAATTAGTAAAAATGCTTGTATGTTAAGCAGGTATATTTATTAAAAATAATGCTAGTATAATCCTGGGGCACAATGATTCCAAGAGGGTCTTTGCAGCAGATTTCATTGTGATTATTTAACAGCTAAATAATAAAAGTTTACTTATTTTAACTTACAGAGTCACTAAATAATAGAGAGAAAAGGAAAGAGTAGGGCTAAGTCGGTAGAGACTGAAACTGGTATCAGTCTTCTTTAAGCATCTGTTTGGTCGGCAGCCTTGGGCAAAGCTTGTCTCTAAAGGGTTAAGTGGGGCCCAAAGTGATGTTTGCACTGAGCTCCTCCTCCAGCACCTGCAGTGGTGCCAAGAGGCTTGGTATTTAGGATAGAGCAGAGCCCAACAGTTTATAAACTGTTCAAATTGTTAAAAATGATTAAAAGCCAGTTAAAGATTTTCATAAACACTATCCAAAATGTTAGTTTTAAAAATGTTACTAGCAATGTATGCATTCCCCTTATGTCCCTCCCCTCCCTTCTCTCTCTTCAAATAAATTTGAACGCCCAGTGTAAAACACACTTCATAGAGAACCAAAAGTCAACTGTTTGAAAAGAAAGGTGAAGAGGGGAGCAGACGGTGTATAGCAGATGCTGGTACTGCTCAAGGGGCTGCTGCTGCAGGCTTTGGTGACATTAAATTCCCCAGTAAGGCATCAGGTGTCGGGACTCTTTCTCATAAACGTCTGGAACTACGCCATAAGGTGTCTGTACCATTTTAACTGTCGACTTCCCAAAGAGCTGGCGCTCATAGTCTATCAGCTGCCTCCAGAAGCCTACATTCGGCCTGATGACAGGCCGCCGGGCTTTCACCCAGTTGTACGCCTCCAGCAGGCACACATTGTGGTATTTCATTAGGTAAGCGATGCAGAGAGTAGCCGAGCGGCTCACCCCCGCAGCACAGTGCACCAAGGTGGCCCGGTGCTTCCTGCTCACGCTGTGGATCTTGTCGGCCACGGTGTCAAAGTACAGTCCAATGGGCGCATGAGGCATGTCAGCCAGAGGCACTTTAACATATTCAAACTGGGGCCAGTTGAAATTGGGGATCTCAATGGTAGCATTAACGATGCAGGTGATCCCACGAGCCTGGAGGAGGTGTCGGTTGGAGGCCACACTGCCTCTGCCCAGGAAGAGAGAGGAGGTGATTTGAGCAATGCCTCCTATGTCTCCCTCAGAAATCATCCGAGGAGCCATGAGAGTTCGTGGTAGTGTGCTGTGACCTCTGGAGCTCATGAAGATGCTGGCAATCACACTCTCATCATTGGAAGCAAGACCAAAGTGGGTTCTTTTTCCTTCCACCAAGGAATCAGAAATGACAATCTCCTTCCTGCAAAATACAGATATCTGTCAGTGCTTTAAACGCTATTGATTCATCACAGCTTTCTGCAGTGTTTGTGGAACAGGAAGGGGAAAGGATTAGAAACAGTTATTTTCTATAATAGTGTGCATTCTCTCACGGATATAGACAAGTCAGTTCCTATCAATTAACAGCTAGGAAGAGTAGCCTAAGACACCAATATGTAAAATCAACATAAAACTTAACTCTCTGGTGACTGTAAGAAAAACCTCCAAGCAGAAGTCGTCATCCTATTTTAGAAAAAGAGAAAAACAGAAACATGCCCAACTGTTTGGCTCCTAAACAACAATCTTGCCAGACTTCTGCTCTTTTTGATGGTGCTCCCTGGTGATTAGGATGAACTCAGAAATTCTGACCATCCCTACAGCCATGTCCTTTTATACCTTTCTCACACACTGCCACAGCTATGATGGCCATTTTTTCCTAAACCTAATTCTAGACGAATGATCTTACAAAAGTCCAAAACTGACATCACATCATGTAATATATTTCATGAATTGCCTTTATGGACTAAAAAGATACTGAACTGGATCACTTCCAGAAAAGCCAGGATATATGGTCACTGTAACCCTTTATGATTTAAAAATAGCTACTTCCTACCATATCTGTGACATCTGAACACGTTCGACATCCAATTAATTTTAGGTAACCTGTGCTGTGGCATTTCCATTGGAAATTATTCCAGGTAATTTGAACTCAATTGTCTCAAAAATTCATTCCTATAAGTTAATGAGTATTTGCAGCTGACCTGACTCTGGGTGAGGTTAAATCTTTCCACTTTCCACTACCAATTCTAAGAGCCAAAATGAATCCCATTGGCTTCAGATGCTGTGTGTTGGAATTAAAATTAATTTTATTTGATAGTTGAATATGTTCTCAATAATACAGGGTTTATAAAAGACATTCGCTATTATACAGTATGTCTATATATTATCTAAGTAATATAGAGAAGGAAATTATTGATTTCCTGAGATTATAGACACATCATTTTCTCTCACTGCATAATCACAATACTTTATATAGTTTTAGCCCATTGGGATAAATGCTTATCCAACCCCCAGAGTACACTGGGAAGCCTGAAAGGATTTCAGTCAAATGCAAATATTCTCAGCTTCAACAAACAGAAGTGGTACAGGGGATACTCACCTGCTGAGGAAGCTCCCGTGCACTCTGGAGCCTGTGGTCTGGATCCAGAAAGTCCTAACAAGCAGTGCTGGTTATAGTGGCTACAAGTCAGATCTGTGGGAAGACAAGGATACCAGAAGATGACCAATAAGGAAGTTCAAAAGAATCCCTCCAGGTTTTTTGTTTTTACTAACCAAATTTGACTGGAATAAATCTTGGAAGTGGAAGGCATGCTGAACATTTCAAGATGTGCATTTAAAGAGTGCCCCAGTAAGAATGTCAAGCTAATTCTCAGCTTTCTATTAAGACATATAACCACAATGTGACAAATGTTTTAAGTACAGTTTTGGCAGTAGCAAAGACAAATTTTTGAAAGAATGTTCAGCAACTAAAACACATCAATGAAATATAAGGTACTACAGAACACTCTAAGATGCAAAACTGAGCAAAGTCTCTTCCATATGCCCTTCGTCAGCCCAGCAGTGTGAGGGACTGTGCTAGACATGCAGTAGGTATAACAGCTAAGCAAGATGAAAGGAGGGTGAGGTAAGTGGGCCTGTGACTACAACACCCAGTGCAGGAGGGGGGGTACCAGGAAAGAAGTCTAAGCCGGTGCTGGGGTGTAGGCAGGAGGATGTCTAGATGAGGAAAGAGGACAGCTTCACTAAGAGCAGTGGTACAGCTATGGCTTGAGCCATGAATGCCAACTACAAGTGGCATGTGCTCAGGAAAGCAACTGGTAACTCATTTTGTTTTCCATGTATGGCCCTCTTATTTTATTCATTTATGTAATAATGATGACAACCCGTGAACAACATTTTAAAAGCCTGTGTTGTTCTAGCTGGCCCCCTGGCATTTCTCCGGTAACCATCACACTTAAATTTTTATTTTCTACAGTTCTGCTGAGGTATAACTGACATGAATTGATGTACGACTTGATGAGTTTTGACATAGTATACACTGTAGAAACCATGGCCTCAGAGTAATAAACATATCACCCTGAAAGTTTCATGTCCCTTTATAATCCCATCCATCCTTCACTGCCCCCACACCTACTTTCTAAGCAACCACTGGCCTGTCACTATAGATCAGTCTACATTTTCTAGACTTTTATATAAAAATGGAACCATATAATATGTATTCTTATTTTTAGTCTGCAGCATAATTGAGATTCATCTATATTGTTGGGTATAATATCAGTAGTTCATTTCTTTGTATTGCTGAGTAGTAGTATTCCACTGTGTAAATACACCACAATTTGTTTATTCATTCACCTGTTGATGGACACTGGGTTTGGTTTGTTTTTAGTTTTAGGCTATTACACGTAAAGGTGCTGTGAAGGTCTTTGTGTAGACATAAGCCTCCAGTTCTTCTGGTTAAAGACCAAGGAGGGGAAGGACTGGGTCATATGATAGGTATATGCTTAACATTTTAAATAGTTTTGTTTTTTAAAAAATCTGCAAAAACAGTTATGTCATAATTCAGTGGTTCTCAAACTTGAGTGTGCAACAGAATCACGGGAGGGCTTGTTGAAGACACATTGCTGGGCCCCACATTTTGAGAACACATGCAGAGGTAGAGGCTGTGGACTCTCCCCTGTGCATGTGGACCGAGGCCCTTGTTCCCCAGCTGCTGGGAGTGCCGGCAGCAGACAGATCACAGGTTCCTCCCCAGAACTGGCCTTTCCTGAAATGAGCTGTGTCCCCCAAGGATATGCCTCTCTTTGGGGGCCCACATCCAATGACTAATAATTAAACCAGGGGTACACAAAGAAGTATAAAAGTGACATTTCATCAAGAGGAAGAATGTAGTCACATAAGGATATGTGGTGGCGTGTAGTTTGGTTGTTTTTTCCTTTTTTTGGTGTGTGTAAGATGTAAACAGGAGCAGAAACTTCTAAGTGAGAAAAATCTTTGCTTGCAGCAGCACCATCTCCTGCCACTTCCAGGTCCTTCCTTGGCAGAAGCCTAGTAGTTTACAAAGCAAGGTCACTGTGATAATGAACACACAAAACTAGGCCTTCAAATGGCAGTGATGAGTCCCTCCTCACTGTGGAAAATCTGGAAGATGCTAATCAGTTTCCAACTAGGTTATCTGGTTATTGTCTAATTAGGAGGGACTCAGCCTTGTGACTTCCCAAATGAGCATTCTGGCTTGGGAAGCCATTCACCCTCCTGAGGCATGGGTGACCCAGGCTCACTGGCCTTTTCAGCAAAAAGGTCTTCATCAAGGACCAAGGGCACATAATATGTGAGTTGAAAACCTAGCTTAGTCTATCAGCTCTCATGTGTCAAGCAGTGTCAGGGTACTTGGTGCTACAGAGAAAAGAAAACAGATTGTGAGTCCTCGGGGCAGAATCCAAGCTAGACAGACACGAAGCTCTATCCCTGCTGCTGCTAGTCAGTCTCGTGCCAACAAACCTGCTTAAAATGCCAGAGAGCTCATCCCAAGTTTTAGAACGACAACTTCTGCCAGAGAGCACTCAGAGGGCACAGATATTACAGATGCTCCTCTGACAAACACTCCTGACCCCTTTTACAGATTGGAAAAATACAAGATTCAGAATACGTAAAAGGATTGCAATGTGGAAAAGGCAAGGAACAGAGTGAGGAAAAGATCCCCGGTGTCCTGACTTCGACCTGAGTGCACACACTGCTTCTCTATGGGCTGTGCAGCTGTGTTCTGTCAACCTTACAGCACTCTACCGTGACTAGCCAGCACCTTGAATGCAAGAAAAGGCCTTGGATTAGCCTAAGAACTTGTTTAAATGCTATTTACAGAACAGACTGGGCCCAGATGGGTTAAGCCAGCTGCTCCAGTTTTCCTGACTGCCCAGAATAGCGAAAAATCGCCATATATTACTGTAACCATTAGGAGCTCTGGTGGTGTAGTGGTTAAGGCATTTGGCTGCTAACCAATAGGTCAGTGGTTTGAATCCACTAGCCATTCCATGGAAGAAAGATGGCACAGTCTACTTCAGTAAAGATTTACAGCATTGAAAACCCAGTGGGAGTTGCTATGAGTTACAACTGGCTCAAAGGCAGTGAGTTTGGTTTTCTGGAGTATAACCATTCAGTACACAACACCTGGCAGCAGAGGGACCTCAGCAAGACCAGTCCCAAATCAGTGTAACAAGAAGCCTTATTATGGTCAGTTTCTAAGATCAGCATATTTTGGTCATAAAGATTAAGAGAAAACATTGTTAGGTATATCAGATTCAATTTAGTAAATGTGTCCTGGATAACAGAGAAAGTAATGCTATTAGAGTACAAGACTGACCCATGCAGGAGGGGTCAGAATTGCATGTTCTGAGTGAACACTCCATTCCAATTTAGCACACTAGTCACTGGAACAAAGATGACCAGAGAGAATGCTAGGAATGCCCATGTCGCTGTCCATGGTGTTCAGCAAGTTCCTCTGGAAGCAACATTTACATTTTTGAAGGGAAAAAATGGTTTCCTAGACAGGGAGATGGTAGTAAGATGAGTGAAAGAAAGTAGGCACTGTCCTACACCAACCCAATAGAGTTATTTTCTTTTATGAGTTATAGGAAATGTCTAGTCAGAGATGATGCTGGTCTCTTTTAATAATAAGCATCAAAGCACTAAGTGCTAAACAAAATGCAGAATTAATGTCTGCCCGGTGGGCCTGTAATCTACATAATGCACAAGCTAATAAAAGCCACTGACTGCTCCCTGCATAGGTGTGCCCCTGAGATATGCATAGCCTGGTGGTTAGCACTGGAGTCCCTAT